AAAAAGCAAAAAGAATAACTGCCGAACAAGACAAACAGTTCTAAACTCAATAAAAAATTTTTTCCTATGTCTTCGTTTTATCCATTTTCCAAACCCTTTCTTTGAGGTAAACTACATGCACTGAACTGGCTAGAAAGCAGCATTTCAGCAAAAAATCAACTGCTTAGCAGTTTACTATAAAAATTTTGAAGAATCTTCTACCTACAAAAATTTCAAACTTATTTAGTGGAGAAGAACGAAACTGTTTGATTTTCCAAAATTAATTTGAAATAAACCAACTACTTCTCCAAAAGAATATTAAATTTCCGACCGGTGTAATGCGTAGCTACAGAGCATTTGACTCAGCTATACTCGTGAACTGCCTGTCTTGTCATCCTGCCAGTGTTGCTGCTAGCGCAGCAGAACTTAGTTTAATTTCGTTTGTAATGCACATCCTTCAGCAAAAGTAATGGATAAAGTTTGACTTGAAATTATTCTGAAGTTAAAATCCAAAGTAGCTTTTGAAAGGCTGTGATCACTAAGTCAGTTCTGAACTGACCGAATAGCAGAAAAATGTCTGCAAAAATAGATAATTATTAATGAAAAATTTGCTTCGAATCCAGGTTGCCTAGTTAAACAACACATCTACTACCTATTAAACCAATTCTTGTCAACAGCAAGATGTCGTTAACTTGCACAAGCGTTAAAATGCCATTTTAGCATTAGATCCCTGAAGTTAAGAAAGAGTGAAAAGAAAAATTTGAGCCTGTTACAGTGAACAAAGTCTGCCAAGAAACTCGCAAAAAAATAAGTGTTGACAGCTTGAAATTTGAGATAAACAGCATCATTAGTAACTGTTGAACGGCATCTTGTAACGTTTACATTAAGTTTCAGGTAGGCAGCTGAAAGTTCCTGTATTTTATTCTATAACACAAAAGACTGCCTAGATTTAGATGCTGATTTAGAAAACTGAATAATGCAGTGGTTCTTCCTCAGCTGTATGCAAACTCTTCTGCCTAAAATGGCACGTTTTTCTTCAATAAAGTCATCTAGACGTAGAGAATACAGTTATTCAAGCAGATAAACTTCGAAGTGATTAATTTCAAAAGCCTTTGAAGCTCCAGACGCTTCCCACCTTGCATAACAATATTCGCATTCAGCTGCAACTGGCAGTACGTGTCAAACATTTGGATTCAAAGATTTCAGCGACAAAGCAAAGCTATACAAATCCAAAAAGCAGTCTTTGTAGTGACTTTTTCCAAGTAAAATTTTCAAAGTTATTCAACAGCAAAAAACTTCTGATCAAGTATCTGTTTTTAAATTAGCCAAAATGAACCACTCTCTTAATATAGCAATATTCCAATTGAGACCAGAACGATTTTTTTATTTGCAGAAGCAATAAGAACATGCGTTAAACAAAGATTTTTTGCAGCCTGTTCTCACCCAGTTCTGATTTTGTAAAACAACCTTATAACCCTGATATGTTGAACAAAGTTTAGAAGGATAGATACAACTTTTTCAGAAGTTTTGAAATAACGCTCATTAGAAGCGACGCTTTAAATTTTTGCTTTAATTCTAATTCTTTTATAACCCGAAAATATTATCTCACTACCTTTTTGAGTCTGTCAGAGACAAAATTTCAGCAAAAAATCTTAAAAAACCCATTGTAGAAAAATAAATAACCCGCTAAAGACGAACATCTTTAACAACAGCTGTATTTCTTTCGCACTTCAAAACGGTCTAACTTCGCCGCCACTGCACTTTTTGAGATACCCTTTTTTATTTCACAATTAGGTGTCAAATCCTGCCAGCCGACAAAGTTTAAAAAAACCTAAAGGAGTAGAACGAAAGTGCACAAACTGAAGTATATATATATATATATATATATATATATATATA